CTATGACAAACATTTATACATATACAACCTCATTCATATGACAGATGTAAAGCACCTAGGGCAGTGGCTGGCATGAGCGGGGTGCTCTATGAAGGACAGTAATTATTATTAGCAGTGGCAACAATATTTAATTCTCCATGGGTGGTGGTGTCACGGGGACCAAGGAATGTATGTTCTCTTGGGAAGCAGGAATAGCACAGATCCTAAGCATCATGATGGGGAGCACAGGGGAGGGGCACTCAATCAAGCTTGTCAGATGTCAAGAACAGTATCCTGGTGGTGAGCTAGGCTGACATGAAGAAGAGTGGGCTATGGAGGCACTGGAGGCAGATGGATGATCAAGCATTCACTATTTATCCAATCCTCCATCCATTCCGTATGCAGAAATTAAGCACTGGTGGCCCACCCATTCTCAGGTGCTGTCTCAGGTGCTGATGGAACAGAAGTGAACATCCTCACCCTCATGGGGCTGACAGTCTAGTGGAGGAGACAGCTCAACAAGAATGAAGCAAGCATGCAAACGAGGTACTTCCAGATGACAACTGAATGATGGACAGGGAAGCAGAGCAGGTGGGTGCGGGCAGGTAAGAAGTGGGAGGGTGCTGGAGCGTGCTGTAGTTGGGACAACTCAAGAGGGCCTCTACGAACGAGGGAAGGCTGATCTGAGAACCGGAAAAATGGAGGAAGGCAGTCATTTAAAGCCCCAGGGGAAGAGTATTCAGGATGGAAAAGACACTGACACTGTACTGACAGTGACGCTGATGTGAAAATGGGTGTGTTCAAGAACAGCAAGAAGAAGAGACGGTATCACTGATGGGGCTGAAGAGTATAGCCATGGCTGGAAACCGGCAATGTGGCCTTAGTGTAATGAGAAGCACTGTTGGAAAGTGAAGACACACCTTGGTTCCTTTAGAATACTAGCTGGAGTCTGGAGTGCTGGGACTGAGTGGGACTTGAGGAGCGGGGGAGATGGAAGCCACAATCACATCAGGATTTCCTATCAATGCTTCTAGCCCACCTGGGTAGTGGCCATAAGATGGACTCCCCTCCCCTGAGGGATTCAACCAGAATTTCATAAACACCCCATGGCTCCACTCTACACCACACACTGGGCTCCCTGCTTTGGCGGTTAGTCTCACTGAGACACTCTGCCTCAAGGGCGGTCTGACAATGAGGGATCATTGTCCCTACTTTACCCTCTACCATTCCAGTTGATTCCAACTCAGGGAAACCCTCTGTCACATTTTCAAGGCTGTAAATCTTAGCAGGAGTAGATTCTCTCTTTTCTTTTCCTGAGGGATGGATGGTGGAGTTAAACTGCCAACCTCTTGGCTCAAAGCCCAACACATAACCTACTATGCCGTGAGGGTTCCCTTACTTTACACTTGACAAAACCTAAGTTTGAGAAGGGGAAATTCCTTGTCTAGACCTTACAGATGGCTGGGGTCAACCTGGAATATCAATTCAACACCCTCATCCTCCATATGTTATAGCACTTCCCACCTTCTTTCTCACCTCCCAATAAAAGTTAGGTTCTTGAAAGAAGCAATTCTTGCGGATGGGAAGGTAGAGTCCTTGAAATGACTCTCCAGTCAGGAGATGAGGAGGGGAAGGGAAATGTGCTGCTCAGGACAAGTCCCTGGGCATTAAATCCACTTCCCTCCATGGTGAAGGAAGGGGTTTTCCGTGGGGTGAATCACAGTGGGAGTGTGGCATGTGGCAGGGAACACAAAGGCCAGTGAGGCTGTCCTTCTGCCCTGACTGGGTGGTTTAGTCTCCCAAACCATCTGGCCAGGTTTCCCAAAATATCCATTTGTGTTAATCTCATGAAGTGCAGGAGTGGCAGGTTCTTTGCCAGCACGCTGGTCAGATGTGCACACATCAGCAGAGCAGGGAGAATCACAGGGAGAGGGGATAGCTGGGGTCAGACATATCTGTACTTGAACTCCAGCACAGCCACGGTCCAGCTGTTTACCTCCTTACACCTCAATTTCCATCTCTGTTAACTGGGCAGAGAATCACATTCCTTATTCAAGCCCACAACATACAGCAAAAATCAAATGAGGTAATGCACACACAAAGAATAGCCTCTCTGGATTCTGAACACATGACCAGGACAAGGCTGGCCCCCAAGAGCCACCACCAAGAGTCCCACCAGGGTGCCAGCAGAGTGGGAAGTAGAAACCCTGCCACTTACCTCAGGCTATTATGTAACCTCTTGGGGCTCAATTTCTTCATCTTTAAAATGGGAAAATGATTAGTAAGTACCACACAGAGCTGTTGTGCTAATCATCCAATCCATGTAGAATACTTAGAACATGTTGGCGTATTACACACTCTCAATGTATGTTAGTTGTTTCTATTTCTGTCTATATTTAACAGAAACCAAAAAGAGGCTGTAGTGGGGGCTCAAATGCGGAACTCTGACGGCTATGGGTTCAATTCTCAGCTTGCTTGTTCAAAAGCTGTGTGACATGTGGGGAAACGATTTAAACTCTCTAAGCGTCAATTTTCTCATCAGTGAAATGGTGGTCATGAAAGCTATGCCTCTAGGGCTGTAAGGTAGCAGCTTCCAATGAAAATGATGGATGACTTCTATTCTTTACATTATACTACATTGTTGGGCACATTCAAGTCGATTCTGACTTAAAGTGACCCAATATGACAAGAGTAGAACAGGTTCAGAAGTTTTCTAAGAGAAAATATTTCCTGAAGCTTATCACCAATGGCTGAAGACACTGGACTCTCTGACATGTTTGCAGTGAGCACCTACCTGTGTCTCACCTGGCTCTTTTCATATTGTACTACACTTTACTCTAGGGAGCTCTGGTGGCCTAGTGGTAAGAAGCTTCACTGCAATCCCAAAGGCACGTGGTTCAAATCCACCAGCTGCTCTGGGGAAGAAAGATGGGCAGTCTCTCTCCATGCAATGAGTTGCCTCTGAAAACCCCCCGGAAGGGTCAGCTGGGGGTCAGTTCCGACTCTCATTACACACTACATTGTTCTGGCACCACCACCACACTATACTCTGGAGGGAGCTCTGGTGACGTAGCCCACCGGGAGCCGTGCTGCTAACCCTAACGGTGGTGCCTCTCTGGCAGTTCAAATCCACAGGAGAAGGATGGGCAAGCTCCTCCCTTGCAATTTACAGTCTCTTGAAAATCTGCTCGAGGGTCAGCTAAGTTGTTTCCAACTTGATGGCAATGAGAGAAGAGATTCTAGATTACATTACACTTTACAAAGAGCCCTGGAAGTATAATAGGTTATGTTCAAGTTACTACCAAAAGGGTGGCAGTTTGAACCCACCAGTCACACGAGAAAGAAGAGACAGCCTCCCCTCATTAAGATTACAGCCTTGGAAAACCCATGGAGGGGTTGCCAAGCAACCAGCAATAGATTTAGTTTCTTGGTTCTATCCTCTCTTAGCTCTGGTGACATGGCACTTAACACTGTTGGGCTGCTAACTGAAAGGCTGGTTCAAAGTTAACCAGCTTCTCCTTGGCAGAAGGTTGAACAGTCTCTTCCTGTAAAGATTTATAGTCTTAGAGACCCAGTGACTAGTCACTATGGGTTAGACTTAACTCAACAGCAGCTGATTTTGTAATTTTTAAATCCTATAATGCTGGTAAGGGTAGAGGGTCGATGAAGGAGAGGAAGACCCTCAACCAGGTGGACTGATGAGGTGACTGCCACAATGGGCTCTTGTGTGTCAGGAAGTATGAGGATGGCACAGGACAGAACAGAGTTGACATCTTTTCTTTGTAGGGTTGCTATGAGTCGTGCTCAATTCCACAGCACCTAACAACAACAACAACAACAACAACAACAACAAAAACGTCCTTTACTATAGGATAGTAAAGAGGAAGACCCTCAACCAGGTGGATTGACACAGTGACTGCTGCAATGGGTTCTAGTGTGTCAGGATGTGGAATGATGGCACAGGATAGGACAAAGTTCAGATCTGTTGTTCCTTGGGTCGTTATGGGTCATACTAAACTCCATGGCACCCAGCAACAATAATAATCCTATCCTGTGCTCTTGTTCTTGTTCTATGTTCTTGTTATGTACTACTGAGTTGGAACCGACCCATAGGTCGATTTTCCAGTGAGTTTTCAGAAGCAATAAATCACATGGGAGAAGACTGTCCATCTTTCTCCTATGGAGCAGCTGGTGGATTCGAACTGTGCGCCTTTGTGTTAGCAGCACAGCTCCTTATCCACTAGGCCACCTGAGGCCTATGCAATACTATACTAACCTATAATGTGCTGTAGACCGTGGAGTCAGAACCGACCCAAAGCTGACCCTCCAATAGGTTTTCAGAGGGAGTTAATGGCAAAGGAGATGCTCATCCTTTGCCTCTGGAGCAGTTGGCGGTCTTGAACCCGTGCCTTCCATGACTGCAGCACAGCGTCTTGCCTCTAGGCCACCAGAGCTCCCGTGCAATACTACGTCGTTGTATGTACCAACACTCGGGCTTTGGGGGGCAGCCCGCCGTTTCCCAGAGTGTGTGTGACCACTAGTCAGAACTAACCCACAGCTGACCCTCCCGTGGTTTTTAGAGGCAGTTAACTGCACAGGAGGAGAATGCCCATCTTTCTCCTGCAGAAAAGCTGGTGGCCTCGAACTGTGTGCCTTCAGGATTATAGTGCAGCTTCTTGCCACTAGGCGACTGTAGATATACTAACCTATAATAGTTGTTAGCTGCCGTTGAGTCGGTCCCCTGGCTCATGGCAAACCTATGTGCTACAGAGTAGAAGTGCCCCATGAGATCTTCTTGGATGTGATCTTTAAAGATGCAGATCAACAAATTCCTTGGAGATGGCTACTAGGGTATTCGAACCACCAACTCTTTAGCTAGCAACAGAGCACTTAATGGCACTGCCAATCACGCAGGCTCACTCTATTCTACTACGTCTGACCAGGTCATGCCATACGGTGCGCCATCGTGCCACACTATGCTAGCGCAGTCCCCTCCATGCCCTGATGTGCACCCCGCTTACCTCGCTCCTCTTCCTTCTCCCGGACGAGCCTTCCCTTGAGGGCTCGGCTCCAGGCGCCACCATAGTCGCCCAGCTTGGCGCGCTCATTGCTGTCCTTGCCCTTGAACCAGGGTCCGTACCTGCGGGTGATGCTCGAGGCCTCGCCCGGCTCCCGGAAGCCCCTGCCCACGTGCAAGTCCCCCAGGAAGGGCAGCTCGGCGTCCTCGGCTGGGGCCCCCGCGGCGGCGCCCGCCTGGCTCTGGGAAACGGCTGGCTGCCCTCCAAAGCCCGAGTGCAGGAACACGACACTTCCGGCCGTCAAGTAGAGTGCCAGGAAGGTGAAGAAGCGCACGGGCTTCCGCCGGAAGTACCGCTGGAATTTGAACCAGAGCTTGGCCATAGTGGGCGCATTCCGGAGTGGAGGGATGGCTGGTCTTGGTGTGTGTGTGTGGGGGGGGTGTCTCGGCAAGGGATGATGGACGTTTGGCTCCCCAAGCCTCTCTTGGGGATGGAACCCCTGGGAATCTTCAGTCTTCTCTCCTCTGCGAAGGTGATTGCCAGAACCCGGAGGCCAAGTTCAGCACCAGCTCCCAGAGATCAGTGTGAGCTTCTGGGCCGAGAATGGGGTTCTGAGGCTCGGGACTCCTCAGAGTGGGTCCCATTTCCCTACATCTTGCTCTTTCCTTTGGAGACCTTTCAAAGAATCTTGAAAATAGCAGTTGAAGGGGGGTTCCGTAGTCACCAGCAGCTGCAGTTCCCTTCTCTTTCTATCTGGGCTCTTCTGGTTGGTAGGGTCTGCATCACTCGTCCGAGGGCCCCGATTTTGGCCTCGGATCCAGATGAGCACTAAGCTCCGCACAGCCACTTTGTGGATATAGGTGCTGTGGAGGTTCCATTCGGTCAGGCCTCAGGGCTTCCACCTGCAAAACAGCACAAACACAGGCACTGAAGCACAGAGCTCAGAAGGTTCCTGAAGGCAAGACAGCAAAGGCACAGAGTATGTTAGGAACAGGGTTGGAGAACCCTGTCCAGAGTCTTCTGGAACACTCCACCGTGTTCATTAAACTAAAGTGAGAATGTTCTGCTGGGGTCATTCATGTTGGATAAACATGGGTTTTTATGATCAGGAGTGGCCAGTGCTTGGAAAAATGTAGGGTCAGTGAAAGAGAAGACGACTCTCAACAACATAGATTGATAGAGTGGCTGCATCAGTGGGCGTAAGCACAGTGGAGACTGTGTGGATGGTGCTAGATGTAGCAAAGTTATGACCTGTTGTACATAGGGTTGATCTGGGTCAAAGTTGACAGCACCCAACAACAACAACTGGATGTTTTGTCACCTATTTCTATTTGTCAAATGTCCAGTGATTTGAGGGTTACTATGAATCCAAAAAGTGCCTGGCCTTTCTTCTTAATCTATCTTAGTCTAGAAGATTTGCTGAAATCTGTCCACTGTAGATAACTCGAGTGATAATTGAAATGTTGGTGGCACAGTTTCAGGCATAATAGCAACACACAGTCATCCCCTTACAAAAGCATGACGAGCAGAGAGGGTCAGCAAAAGCAAGAGAAATCCTTATTATGTGGCTTGACACATAACTCCACCAGTGGGCTCAGATATCCACGCTGGACTAGGCAAAATTTTGTTCTGTTATTCACAAAGTCTCATCGTTCAAAATAAACTCAAAGGCAACCAACAAGAGGTCTTTGCTAAAATGCCTGCTGGACCTGGTCAAACCTGAATCAGATTAAATGAATTAATTTTGGTGAAAAAAAACCATTATTAATGAGCCCCTCCTAAAAATATTATTAAGTAAGAGTACTATAGACTCGACGGCATTAAACAACAACAACAACTATAGACTCCAAACTATGGTCTTTTAAAATTACTGCTGTGCATTTGAAAGTTGGACAATAAGAAGAACTGATGCCTTTGAGTTGTGGTGTTGGAAAAGGAGTACTGAATATCCTTTGGACTTCCAAAAGAACAAATAAATGCTTTACAGAAAATGCAGCCTGTATGCTCCTTAGAGTCAAGGATAGCGAAACTTCATCTCCCATACTTTGAGCATGTTGTTGGGAGGAGTCAGTCCTTGGAAAATATCATACATGGAAGGATGGTGGTTGTCAAAAGAGAGGAAGGCCCTCAACAAAATGGATTGATACAATAACAATGGTTTCAAGTATATCAGAGATGATGAGGATGGCACAGGCTCAGATCTGTTGTTCATAGGGTCGCTAAGAGTCATAGGAGACTCAATAACACTTAACAGCAATAAATATGCACTCTGCTAGGCATCTTCAAGAGCTTTAACTACTAGTAGGAGAGAGAATCCATGGGTCCCATCCTCTATCCCAGGGAGAAAAGGAAAATGAAGGAAAGCTGGCTTATGTAGCAACATACTCATTTACTAATTATTAACTACTGAAAAAAAAGCCTTGAGTTACAATATTGAATGATTCTATGGAAAAGATAAGTGAATGGTGCACAAAGTATCAAAAAGATTGAGGGTATACATAAAGTCACTGCAAAAGAAAAAAATTCTTCTTAACCACTTCAGGTGGTAGCATATTATAAAGAATTGAGGATGTCCAGGGTGAACTGAAGGCATTGGCAAAAAATAAGGTTCCAGGAATTGAAGGAATACAAGCTGAGGTGTTTCAACAAACAGATGCATCACTGAAGGTACTCAATGATCTATGCCAAGAAACTTGGAAGGTAGTGACCTTGTCAGCCAACTGGAAGAGATTCATAATTTTGCCCACAGTCCTAGAAAAGGTGATCCAATAGAATGCAGAAATTATTGAACAGTATCATTAATACAGCAAAGAAGTAAAATTGGGATGAAGATTATTACTAAATGGCTAGAGCAGTACATCCCCTTGGGAATCCCTAGTGGATTTATAAGAGGCCATGGAACAAGGGATATCATAGATTCCAGATGACTCTTGGCTGAAAGCCGAAAATATAAGAAATAATGAATTATGTTTTATGGCCTATACAAAAATATTAGACTATGTAGGTGTTAATAAATGATGTATAATGTTATGAAGAATGGGACTTCCAGGATCCTTAATTATGTTCATGAAAGACGCATACACCAACAAGCAGTTGAGTGGCGTACAGGGATACTGCATAGTTTAAAGAAGGACGTGAATCAGAGTTGATCTTGTCACCATACCTATTCAAACTGTAGGTAGATAATCTGAGAAACTGGACCAGATGAAGTAGAATACAACATTAGGATTGGAGGAAGACTTACCAACAAACCTGAGATAAGCAGATTACACAACCTTAATGCAGAAAATGATGAAACTCAAAGACCATATTCCTCAACAGGAAAACAAAAATCTGCACAACTGGACCAATAAACACCTTCGTGATAAATGGAGGAAGCACTGAACTTCTCAAGGATTTAATTTTATTTGAATCTATATGGTGCACCTGATCCAGGCCATGATCTTCACAATTACTTGCCACACATCCAAGAGCTGGAGAGTAAGGATGATAGAAGAAGGATTGATGCCTTTGAGTTGTGGTGCTGGAGAAAAGTGCTAAACATATGGTGAACTTCCAGGAGAACAAACATGTCTGTCCTGGAGAGGGTGAAATCAGGCTGCTCCTTGGAGGCAAGGATTTTGAGGCTCTGTCTCACATACTTTGGACACATGGCCAGGAGGAACCAGTCCTTGGAGAGGGACATCACGCTTGGAAGGGTGGTGGGACAGTACAGGCGAGAAAGACCCAGGATGAGATGGTCTCAGTGACTGGAGACATGGGATTAGGTCTGTCAGAATGATGAGATTGGCTCAGGATAGGGCAGGTTTCAGAGCTGATATATACAGGGTTGACATGAGTCACAGGTGACTTGATGGCACAGAACAACAACAATCCAAGTAAAGGTGGCCCTGACTCCAGCTGTGGCATTTTCAGTTGCTCCACAAGCGTGTTCAAGTTGGACAATGAATATGGAAGACCAGAGAAGAACTGATGCCTTTGAGTAGTGGTGGTGGTGAAGAATATTGAATACACTGTGGCCTACTGATGCCTCTGAAAACCCACCAAAGGGTCTGCTATGGATCAATTATGACTGGAGGGTCCACAACAACAATGGATTACTGGTGGCCCTGTCTGTAGTATGTTGTGCTGCTCCCCAAAAGGCTGCATTTCTCAGGTATTTTGAATCCACTAGCCTTGCCCAGAAAGAAGATGGGCAATCTCTTTCTATTAAGTTTTACAGCCTTGGGAATCCAGTGGAGGGCTCCTCTGAGTCAGAGAATTGACCTAATGACAGTGAGGTTTTTGTTTGTTTCCAAAAAAAAAAAAGAAAAATCCCAACTAATTTGGAAGAAGTGCAGCCAGTGTTTCTTGTAAGCAAGGATGGTGAGACTTCATCTCACATCCTTTGGGTCTACTATCAAGAGGCGCTTAAAGTGTACCTGATACAGACCACTGTCTTCTCAATCAAATACTACTCTTCAGAGAGCTGTACAGTGCATAAGGATGATGAAAGAATTGATGCTTTTGAGTTGTGTGGGAGAAAGGTACTGAACATGGACTACCAAAAGAACCAACAACTATATGTTGGGGAACATGCAGCCAGAGTCCTTGGAGGCAAAGATGATGAATCTTCGCCTATCATACTTTGGACGTGTAGCTAGGTGAGGCTATTCCTTGGAAAGGACCATCATGCTTGGAAAGATGGAGGATCAGCTTAGATGAGGAGGCCCCTCAATGAGATGGGTTGGCGCAGTGACCGCAGCAGTGGGCTCAGGTGTGTCAGAGATGGTGAAGATGGCACAGAATCGGTCAGGGTTCAGGAGTTGTTTCTCACAGAGTTGCTATGAGTTGTACTCAGTGGCACTTAACAACATCAGGAGGGGCCAAACCCTGAAGAAGGACATGCTTGGAAAAATAGAAGGTCAGCAAAAGAAAGGGAGCCCCTTGATAAGATGGGTTGGTGCAGTAATTGCAACAATGGGCTTGAGCACAGCAGAGATTGTGAGGATGGTGCAAGATTGATTAGATTGTTCTCTTGTATAAAAGCTCACACTGCACCTAACAGCTATTGTGTGCTTAGTCTTGTTACAAGGCTTCAACATAAAATTTTCCCAATATTCCCACCAGAGGTAACTTAGTTCTACAATAACATATGTGCAGGCTTAGTTAACACAACCAGTAAACGGTAGGGGTTGATACTTGAACCCACAGGAGCCTAAACCCAAATAAAAGCTTTGGGGAACTTGGTCCTTTTCTCTATTTGGGGTCGGCATCACTTGGGAATTCACAGAGAGTCCAAAAGCAGCATCCCCACCTCCTCTGTCTCCTAGTGCCACTGCTGGCTCACCTTGTCTGCCAGGGCCTCTGCGACTGTAGTATGAAGGGCATCAGATTAGAAACCACTTAGGAAGCTGG